AGTCTAGTAAAGACTCGTCCATCAGTGAAGAAATGATCCATATCTAGAGGGCGTAGTTTATATGAGGTGTGTATTTAAGACAACACGGAACGCCGTCGAGCGAAATCGACGATTCAACTCCGGGACATTTTTGTCCTCCTTCAGATATTTCTTTTAAGACATTAATATGCTATGATTTTGCCGACGCGCATGATGTTCAGGCAAATATTTCGATTGGTTTTATTCTTTTACAAATTTGACGCTCAGACAGTGAATATGTGCAGAGAGTTTTAGTTACGATGGGTGGATGGGGGTGGATTTCACTCGTCATAGAAGACAGACTAGCACGTTCCAGGCTAGGTGTGGTGACTATGTTCAGACCAGTGAACTGTGGTAAATATACCCTAGTTGTCAGACTATATTCTCTCATCCATTATGAGCTATGGAAATAATGACCCTGAAATAATGTATAACATTTGTAGTGTAAAATATATATTGCGATAGTTTTCAATTACAGATAAGACTTCAATTCCCTGTTACCCGTTAAATGGTTACTGTAAGAAGAACATTTCAAATATCTGCACCAAAAATCAATCTACTTTGAAGAGAACCACCAACTTGAAGATAAAAGTGCACTTGTATTTCTATTTGCGAGAATAACTTACATCGCATACAGTATGCATTCATATATATGTAATCGAAATCAATGAAAAAATCAAAAATTATCCAAAATCGACATAATGTTTAGAGAAAATGCGGTTCATTTTTTTTTCTATGAGAGTCTTTGCTGATAAATTTGAGAGCAAACCATCAGTGCATTTCACATGTGTGTTATACGTCGTATGAGACCCATGTCGAACACGACACGTCACTTAACCGTTCGTATATTAAACCGCAACAGCTCATCCCCTCACCCCCCTCACCCCCCCCCTTCCCCCCCAAAAAAAACCTCGGCCATCACGAAAGCGCAAACGACCCAACTATATTGACGACACATATTTCACTGACATTCCCAATTACAAATATTTGTTCAGCTTTCGAAACTACGAGCAGTTACCCGTGATATTGACATACCGCTAACCATTTCCATGGGAAGTAATTTTGCTTAATTTACCATGGCGACTGCAGACAATTGTTGCGGGACTTGACTTTCCCATCCATTTTCAATTAAAGTATAATAATAAACTTTGTATACTTTGACCTTGTATCAAAAAAAAGTCATTTTCACTTTATCTTACAAGTAGAAAATAGTCAGATTGTCCGACGCACTTTTTTGCTTTTTCCTCTAGCATTTTGTCAATACTTTTTTTTTGCAGATATTTGGTTTAATTACGCCGGACGCTTTATCGCCTAAAATTATGGTGATCACGTGACAATGGAGGTTGTTCGCAAATTGTTTAATCTGGGAAAGGCTTTGTTTTCATTGAAAAAAGGTTGTGAAACAAAAATATATTTCTCCAACCACACAGTGTATGTTGTTATATCCGCGTTCACGAGCCTAAGCATTCTCGCATTTCATGTAATAATTGGAATCCGGTTCCGGTGTGCTGGAATCGCCTATGTGGTATTATGGGTTCACCTTTCGAAAATATTCATCAAAAGTAATTCCAAATCCTTATTTTTAGAATGATTTCAATTTCACGTACATCCAGTTTTTAAGTTTGTTCTATATAAAAACAAATTTTAAGGATAGGACCACTGTGATTATTACAGTCAAACTAGTTTTGAATCAGTGCAATTGTTGCAGTTAAAAATCGGAATTGTAATCTGTATTTTCCAATTCCCGCGTGCAATTACGATTTCACTACTTTCGTGACGTAACTTCTACGTCATTTTCAGTTTGACATCACAGAAGCTAGAAGGCACGACTTGTGTAAAGGTATTTACACAATTACAATAATTACAATTAAAATAAAAAGTGGATTGCCTGGAAACAGACGGCCATGTTATTCTGACTGCGTTGTCTTTTTTATAAGCACCGTTCATTCTCACAGCCATTATTGTTGGCCAACATCGTACCGTCTTGAAACACGCCAACCACATTCCGGTCTCGCCAAGTATATAGCGCCAGCTCTCGGTTATGCAAAGAAATGTTCACCGGGACAACGCGGCGCCAAGGCAACCCGTGAAGCGGTAAACCGTTAACGAAGGGAAGAAAGGTAGCCAATTTAAATAACAATATCCATCCGGGTGGTTCGACTGTTGTTATTTCTTTAAATGCCGAGGTGAATTCATGTGGCGCATTTTTGCATCGTGTCAGCTAAAGTACGTACATTGTATGGTTGAGGGTACGCCTCTCAAGCGTCAAACGTTCACGGTACCAGCAAGACCAAATGTCCTGAATATGGGCTTAAGTCATCAACAGACATACAGTTAAAAAGACCAAAGGAATAGTAGATCGATGGAGTACATGTGTTGCTAACAATACTCAGACGCTGTTAAATACGGCAATAGAAACATGAGCAACATACAAGAATCGAACCTCGGAGTCAGCCCCCGAGAAGACGTAAACAGTAAGTTTTTTAGATATCTCCGTTGTCCTTCGCGTGTGGTGTAAAGGGTATAACTTGGTAATTTTGTTGAGTCGTTCCACTCGCATTCGTTTCACTTCTGATCATAACAGAACGACAACTGAAGCTTACTTCGATGTACATAAAAGGGTTCAGGGTACTTTCTGAGCTTTCAAAATAACGGATGCGCCAAATAGTAATGTACGGTGTATTATGCAATTCGATGTCAATTACGTCATTCTATAAAACTCATTTTTGCACGTGCCTGTTAAATATTTATATAATAATTATACTGTGAGATTAGATTTGATATCATGTGAATACTGATGTTCTAATGTATATAGTTCTAAGGGCAGAGTGTAGCGTCGTGTTCCAGTGTTCCATATAGGTCCCAAGCGTGCCAGTTCATAGCCTTGTTTATACGTGCTGTGGAACGCGGAGCTAAATGGCATAAATAATAACATTTTATAATATCAACAAATTAAACCCCAGTTCTGCTCATTCGTCACAGGATTCAGATCAAATGATGCTGAGCACAACACAGTCCCATAAGACATAAAACACGTGAAAATATACATTCTTTGTTTTCATAAAGTTAGAACACGCGCTGCGTGGAGCCTCTGGTGCCTTTAAAGGGCGCGGCCATTTTAGAAACGCTGTTAATTTCTCGGTAAATATAAGACACCGTGTGTGCCATTCACACGCACAGTGAAGATACAACTTTGGAAAGATAAAACGATGATTCACGCCAATGTAATGCATAATCCGTGCCGTGTACAGTGCTGACAATGTTACGTCGCGACATCCATAGACAGCGATATGAGCGGCAATCTGTCACGGTGCTGTCTGTGCGGTAATCATGTTTCATGAAGGTTCAGTACGTGTATGACAACACCGCCACCGACATCGGCAATATGCAACATGTAAAGCCAGTCTTTTGGCGTCATCGAATGGAGTATTCTCGGTAGAACAGTAACAAACACTCGAAAGATAAATATTAAATACACCACAGATATCGAAATACGTATTCCTTGCCGTGTTGCTGTAAAATACGTCACGGCGGTGGCGGATTTAAATTAATTAAAAAAACACGCACATATTGCGTTTGACAATGGACAAAATCGGTTGGAAACGTAGAGGAAATGATACTTTGGGAATTTGATCAATGTCATTATGAGGTAAGAGGCATAAGTACTGGTACAACACTCAGGCAGGTAAGAAATACGGTGTTTATGTCGGATCAGATTGCTTTTTAATTGTATACAGTACAAGGACCATGCAGTTAACGTCGACAATAGACCGGCATTGCTAGTGTATGTTAGCTGCGCTGCACAGTTAGAGGTTTCCCATTCGACCTTGTGAGACGTTAACAATTGTTGCGACAAAGACGTGTTGACCATTCCCAATCAACGTCGATTGTAGTTACAACCGTGGGTTGTTACGCTTCAGTTGGAATGCTTCATTGCCGCTAGTGTAAATATCAACTATATGCATGGTTATGAGAAGTGTCACAAGAATGCACTTTGTAGTACGTGTTTCAACGCAATCATTCTGAAGGCAATTACCGCATGATTTGACGTAATAGGTTGTCTAGCAGTTCTGGGCGTTATGCGTGTTACAATATCTCTCCCATGGAGTTTATTCAGCCCCACTGAGTTTATTTGAACTATTTTTTTACTGAAGGGCACGGAAGTAGAGGTGAAAACAGAATCTCGAAGAAAATTGAGAACCACTAGTAACCGCAGTATATTATTACGTGTCCCACTTACTCCGCTGTTTAATTTTAACGAATATATTTACAGTGGTAGTTGTAGTTTGTAGTATAATTTATATAATCAACAGCAACCCACCAGAGCCTAAAAACAAAATTGTGAAGCAACACATGACACCGATGACCTCCCGAGAGACTAAACAAAATCAAAACAAAGTACGTCGAGTTATTTTGGGTAGAAATTCGAATAATTTCTGCCTTGAGTATAATAGTGTAGAATTTCAAGGAGCGTAGTGTTTGTCGTTGTCAAACATGTATAACACTTCCACACAAATGAACCGTCTCACTTCACGGGAGTATATAAAGGAATAATGAATAAGCATAGCTGTAGTATGGGTGACACTCATGACATCCCGCCTTTCAAAGAGGCAATACTGATAACTTGAGTATTTAAATGTCATTTGTTCGATAACCTGTGTTGAATGGCATCCCTGAATTATCAAGGGGAATTCAAGCCAAACAACACAATGTTCCCTAATGAAAGAGCTCCACGAATGTAGGAGAATGCAATTTAAATTTGTTATCACTTTAGATATTCAACTTTTCCCAGTATTAAGTAATCCGCCATCTTGATTCTCCAGCAAAGGATTGTGGGTAAAGTGTGACATCATATCCAGTTTATAACTCCAACTAAAACAATTTTATAGTTGCGAACAATTGAGAAAATGCTTCCATCTATAACGTGAGAAAATACTGATGCAAATTAATTAGTTTTCCTTTAAACGTGTTTGGGGTCGCCGACGACATTGTATTCGCCAATGCACACGTGACGAATTGTTGGTACGTACTAATAATTAAAAATTTACGCACATTTGCATCGCTTGTTAGTTCTCATCCTTTGCACGCGACCTAAAATATTGTGTGTAAGATAAATTACAATCTGGGATGTATGTCAACATGTATAATAAAGAATACGTCTGAGAACGGTCATCAAATCTTCCATTTTGGTTCAGTCTTGTTCGTAGCTCTTCCGTCGTGTAATGATCACCAGACGTGTTAGACATGAAGCAGTGAAGTACATATGATCAGTGCAACAGCTCATTCCAACATGAAATAAAGTAATAAACGTCAGCATAACTGCCGCGGTCATCGCTCAGCGCGTTCGATTTTAGCGTAAACTACCAATGTATTTGTTTATTACTAAAGTTATCTACGTCACGTGGGAACACGACGACGCGATGTAAAGGCAGTGCTGCTCGTTTAATTGCTGTTTTGAAATTTGTGCCTTCTTTTGTAGAAGAGAGTGGACATATAGCATCAAAACATTTTTTCCTATAAATCAATCAACTATTCGGTGATAAATGAAGTGGTTATTGTTCTTCTCTTTTATTGGTTACTTTCTAACATTTACTATCGCGTCTTCCATTGTTATACACACATACGTAGAACGAATAGAAACAATTAGTGAATGTATATACTCAGTACTTCAAATTTAAAGCGGGTAGTCGTCGCCTGCGCATGCGTCAGATGGCCATAGCGTGTCACTATTTACAAACAAGCGTCTACCCATGAGCCTTTGCGTTTTTCGTGTGTTGTTATCATCGCTTTGGACTCAATTCCCATGCGTGCGCAGATGACGACCGTCCCGCTGTAAGTAGACATGCTGGTTGCTGATACAGTTGAAAGTAAATTGAATTGGTCGGAGGCGATGTTAGCAGTCACAAACTCTAGCCTATAATTATATAAACATTTACTAGTACAAAAGTCAAGGTTGTTCTTGGGTGAAGTCTAGATAGTTTTAAAGCGCCGCTGCCACTACGCGTCGCGTCATGTTCGATGTTGCTCGCACGTGATGTATACAACCAATCAGATTCGTCGAGTAAAAAAATGCGTAAAATGGGGCGACAAGTCACGTAATACGAAGGATAAAACCATGATTGGAAACTATTATCACAAACATTCACAGACATAACTATTTACAGCTGTTTTTATATCTTTTTTGTTCTAAACAACGCCATTTCCTCCGTGAATTTAAGGATGTCGTGTTAGTAGTGTTTTTTTTTTTTTAAATTCTAACGGAGTCAGTGAACTCATTACTTATATTATTCCAGTGCTTCGGGGTACGTTCCCAAATATATGACACTGCCATCTTACATACTTAAAGAACACCGTCTCAATTAGTACACAAAAACAGGTCACACCACGGGAATGCGACCCACTTCACTTCAGCCTACATATAGCATCATTGCAGTAGAAACATACCAGCCACCTCTTTCAGCGGCAAAGCAAGCAAGTTTCAGCAGTTACAGATGTTCGTGTTAACACGTTTTGTGGAATTTGTCGAGGGGTACATATAAAACAATCGAAAAAAACAGCATGGATCAGAGATGTGCACATTGTGCGGTTTATAATAACTGAAACCACCGCTGATTATTTTGTTGCTTTTCCAATAATACTAGTAATATGTCAGTAATCCTATCTCACAGTTTCGATGCACCGTTCAACCGGGGCATTCTGCACACGCTGTGTGATTTAGTCGTCGGTAAATCGTCGCCAATGGAAAACGCCGCGGCCGATGTTGGGATGAAATATAAAAATATTGCTGAAACAACAGAACTAGTCCTACCTCAGTCTCGATTCCTCAATTGTTGCGCAGACTGTTTATTCCGAAATAGCTGTCATGTATGTATCTATTCAAAACAGCTTCTAAGTATCCCGAAGTAGATCGTTTTCAGTGCGGCGTAAACATCACGTAGATTGCGAAGAGTTTTACATAATGCAAATACATGCGTGTTATTCGAACTGGATGTCTCGCTTGGATGTGATGGTGGTCGGATATTGAGTGACGGATATTTTGTATATGTTGTAACCGATGTAATTAAATAATGAATGTTTAGAAAAATGAGATGATGCTTTGGGTGGATTGGCAGACGACAGTTAATCCCGCCGGGCGCCATTTTGATGCCGAATGTTTCTGTCTATATGGTGTACGTGAAGCCAAACATTCAATCTCGGAGAATATTCTCAAAACATTTTTAGAAATTTTTTTAAAAAAACAAGGCGGGGAGTAGTTTGTGAATATTTGTGAGTTGTACGTTACCTCTGTGTAAATATGTGAATATTCTTACATGAAGCTTTCGTCTTCTTGCTCACGCAAAGAATCATGGGTAAACGGTAACACCGGGTTTAAGAAGGCGTGAGTTTGTTTTATATAAAATATTTATAAATATTTATAAATTAAAACGGCGATTGAAAATAACTTGACCAATCACATGCTTGGTGGATGAATAGCGCCCGCATTGTACTCCACCGTGACTGCGGTCGGTTACACTTGTACGAAACCAATGTGTTACTCAGACTATGACATACTCAGACATATTTCAGCGATCCAATCTCTCTAATTTCAAGCGTTTTAAACACATTTTGATGGATCTATCTCTACCTTGTGCGTTTATGGCAGTAAATCGGTCAATGATTAAAAAAAGGCGACAAAGTCTCATGGGTAATGGGCGGTACCAAATGATTCCTGTGGCCAATGCAATCAACTTCTTCGGATTTGAATGTCAGAAGCGCGAGTATTTTTCGAGATAAATGTTTTATAAAAAAAAATATAAATTACCATAAAACACATTTACGCATTCTGTGAAACCCCAGTGTTATCAGATGTTTCTTCCACTTGAATTATCGCGAGCTGGAATGTTGGCAACAGTTTATTGTCCGGGTTATGATATGGTGGCGATTCTGCAAGGGGTGACCTCAATTCGAAATAGCCTAATGTACCGGGACCCGACCGCCGTTACAATTGTTTTCTGAGTTCAAGTCAATGGCGTTCGTGAACGCCTTAATCTAAAATGGATTAAATGAGAAGCTGAGAAGTTTTAAAAATAAAAAAAATAGTTGCTAGGACGGAAAGACTAAACAAGCTGAAATGAAAATCACAACTGACATTTCTTATTGCTTGTTTACACGAAATTCGAAGACTTCGGCGCGCTTTGAGGTAGCGATACCTTATTCCTAAAAGTACTCACAGATATATTTGTGATCATGGTAATTATGTGTTTCCGATCAAAAAAATTAATTTCAGCAACTTTGGTAGTCCCGAATTTGAATGAATCACCAAACTGAAATACGACTTTTTCTATTAAAATGTGGTCATATCCAATTATATGTAATTTTAGCTCTAAATCTTTGCCAAACTATGTCCAACTTGGTATTACCCGTAACCTAATAGGGAGACAACACGAATCAGCATAGAACACTTGTTAATTTTTTCTATTACATGTCTATCAGAATCAGCGAAATGCCCAATAAACTTGCCAATAAAACAGAATGAATATGTTTCTCTTCGATTACCACTCTTTCCAGAATAATTTCCATAGTTTTCCTAACAAGATACATGTACTGTTATAACCAGTCAGTGCAGTGAGTTGTTGAAAAACCATGCGATTCTTGTCGATCTTGATACTGCTTTTCAAAATTACCTTTCCAGGTTTGTAAAGCGCCCGGTCTTCGTAACGCGTCTTGTTATGTATGGGAGTTACGTGTGACTCATCCAACGCATATTATGGTCGCACACTCAGGCTTTGCATTAAACCTCCCATTGAAGTACAAAACACAGTTCACATAGCCTCACAGATTGTTGATACAGTGGAAGAAATGTGAACGAGAAGATACACAAAGACCGGAAGTATGGCGCCACAGAACAAAGCAGCACACTATATAATCTTCTTGAATCTACTTCAATAAAATAAACAATGATTCAATGATTAGCTTATGCTTATGAACACGTTGAGGTTAGATATCTTTGAAAATATATCAACTAAAAAAAGACTTTCATATAGGTAATTAGATTGTAAGCTCAAATGTTTAAATCAGTCTCTTGGTGAATAATAAAATTAGCTAATTCGTCAAAAACAAAGCCAATGTTACCAACAATAAATGAGCCTCAGCAATAACTATCAATCAATCATTCAGTCAATTAAAAAATATAGGTACATATAAAAAAAACACGACACATGAACAGTTTCAATAGTTAAGTATCAGTGTTCAATAACAGTCAAATTAATCTTCAAACATCAGATCCAGTCCTGTAGTTTTAACTGAAGTTCACACACACTAGCCATAACACTAATTACGTGTCACTCTCGCCAACTGATAGTGAGTTCTCAGTTATCAATAAATAAAAGTACCAGCGGTTATACGTACACTGATATGTACATGTAATACCTATCGTACACTGGGCCTATGTTATGGTTTGACTCTAATCTCATATTCAATTAGAGCCTACTTTTAATCTTATCAACTCATTAACATTAATTGTTTAATCGGTTACAGAAGCAAATGTAAATTGCAATATACAAATGCCAAAAATACGACATACCATGTTTCTGAGATTTTCTGCCGTCTTAGTAACCCACTTGAGCGATGGTTAGAGATGTTAATTTCACCATCTGATTAGTTGGTGACCCCATCTTTTTTTTTTCATAATATTAACGAGTTATGAACACAATAGAAGTGAGGGCGCACTTCATGCACGAAAAAAAAAGTGAATCCGTAAACACTGTGCCGAGAAAACTTTTATTTTACAACTCATCGTTGCTTCAAAATGACAATTTTGGTTAACCCTTTATCTATTTTGAGTCACAAAGAAAACATTAAACTTATTGCTTTAGCCGTACATTGTGTTTCGGGCAGTGTTTTTTTTTTTTTTTAATTGCACGTGGATTTTAATTACAGGCGCAAAACCTTATACATGTACACGAAATATTCAACCGATTTTTAGTACAGTTGAGACTTATTTTTTTATTATTTACAGAAAACGCTTCGATTGACGAGCTCGCAGGTGAATTTAAGAATACAATGGAAGACATGGACCACTATATTGACAAATTGAGTGACGAGGTCAAAACATCTAAACCGATAAAGCATGACGCGGATTCACCGCGCGAAGGCGCTGAAACTGCCATGACAAGCACAATTGACGATAACATTAGGGCCGAGCGACAACTACAGAAGAGCAACGAGCTTTTAAATGAAGTGCGCCCTCTGCTGGAGATCTACCCAAAGAAATTTGAAGAGCTGAAAAAGCTTATTCACACGATCAAAATACGCCACCTCGCAGACATGAGCAAACAGAAAAGACGCTACAAGGAAGAGATGGACCGGAGGGTGGACGAAGCCAAAGAACAAGAACGGGAGAGCATGAAAAAGGAAATGGAAGACTTGAAAAATGAAGCTGAGAAAAACAAAACTAAATGGATAAATACCACCAGTAAACTGAAAGCAGAGAGCATGAGGTAAGGTATAGAAGAATGCAACAACGAATGCGCTCTGAATATAGACCTGAATATAGTGAGGCTTTCGGTAACTCTTGCCATTTTTGCCAGTTATCTGCCATTTTGTTCACTTTGGTCGCAGTTGGTTGTTATAAAACAACTAAAACAGCCCTTAATGTATCCACTTGTGTAACACAACGCATAAGTAGGTGTATATTCGAACGCGAACTCATAGACAAGTGCAGTCACACGAACTACGTCATGCACGAACTGCGAACCAGCCTGCACAACTGACGTAATCGAACAACATATCATGTGTTATAGAAACCCACCAATCGTCTATCAACAGACTTACTTTCAATATCACATGTACATACCAATAATTCAGACGAGGCACTGATAACGGAAATTTTTATTATTTTTCAATCTATTGCTTATTACATTAAACTAAGTATTACAACGAATTTAAATAACTTTGTCGCGTAACATAATATCTTTGTTGCGTAACATACTAGTATTTTGCATATTTTTACAGACTCGAGAGGGCAAACGACCGTATCAGCAAAGCGGAATCTGAGACGCATGGAAACAAAATTGGATTAACGCGATCGATTGAATTGTTGAAGAAGGAAATTCAGCAAAATCACCGAGATTTGGTGAGTTTGGAAAAAGAAAGACGCAAAGAGAGGGCGAGGGCTGACAAGGAAGCGGAACGGGCTAGAAAACTTGAGAACAAGCTGGACACATTCACGCGAGGCAAACTGCACCATCGAACGATAACAGCCGAAGAGAAAGTGAACGACGTCGAACACAGATATGAAATCTTACACTGGAAGTTTAGGTCTTTGGTTAGTGTCGTTAATGATTTAGTCAGGCAAGGGACGCCACCTTGTTTCACCAATGTATACTCGTTGCAAGACTTTCTTGACAGCGGCAGTGATGGACGATCAAGCCAGCTTCCGGAAATACCCGAGCCATTCCGAACCAAAGATACTGAGCGAAGTAGACCACGCAGGAGACGTCTCAAGTCACCGAAACCAGTCAAATTACCGGAAATTGCGGGGGCCGAAAAAACTAGAAAGAATACGGACAGTAATTCTGGAGGCGAAACCGACGAAAACAACGGGGAGTCAGTTATTGCCGAGCAATCGCCAAAATCACCCGAACTGAACAGTCCGAACGAATCTTTTCGACCGGGAAGTAGAATATCAGCGGAAAATTCCGAAGACACACCTAAGGAACAGCCAGAAGAGACAATTAGACCGAACACGTCCGATGATAACTCTGGGAAAACCGAAGCCGATGACCAGAACGAACCCACCGAAAGCCAAGTTTTCCTTACCGAAACAAATTCTGTGGCAGGTGAGCGTAATAAGAGTGACGACAGTGATGATGGGAACACTCAGGAAGAAAAACGAAATTCCAGAAAAAATACTTCAAAGGAAAATTTGACTAAAAATAAATCAGCATCCGAGGACGACATGGAAAAAGAGGAATACGAAAAAGAATTGGCTGCTCTTAAGAGAAAAAGAACATTGAAAAAGAAAAAATGACTTGCTAAACATTCTGTGACGTCATTATTGAGGGTCATGTGAAGATATACTGCTTCAAAGTATCAGCTGTGTCCTAGTGGATCAACAGAACGTGAGCGTCCCAAATCGACACATATTCAACAACAACAACAACAGAAACAATTTTTAAATATTTTAATTTCAAATGATGAGCTTCAAATTAAAGACGGACTGCGCATGTGCAGACTATTGTTCTCTGGCCCTCTCGTGATTAACAGACACAGTCACGACGACAATGTTGCTTGAAGACATGATTTCGAAATCGGAATCTTATAAACTATTTACTATATGTGAGTGTTTAAACGTGTTATTGGTACAATGTTCGGCGAATAATTGGCGTGAGTTACTGAGTTACTATCGGTGAGGGTGTATTACCTAACGCCATGCTGAAGTTGAGTTGTTTTATTTATTTAATATATTTTAGTTCGTTATATCCACCACAGGCGCTAACAGACCACGTAGTGTAATCTATGGGACCGTGGTATCTGAAATAGTCGACGCGATGACGGGAAAAAATGGAACATTATAGACCAGTTTCGAGTTTATAGCGCCATCAGTTGGTTTTCGTGTGGGGGCGGTGGTGATATGCGCTTGTTTTCGTGCTTCCCGGTGTTCTCAGTGGTGAGCTATAGAACGTTTAAGCAGCGAAATTACCCCCCCCCCACACACACACACACACACACATACACTCACACCAACTACGTGGACCAGAGTTTTTAAGGTAACTGCGAAACTCGAACCTTGTCTATGAAGAACAACACAAGTTTCTGTGTTAGGTATATTCGAAGAATTCCCGTGTAGATTCTCTTCTTCTAAAGAGATTAACACAATATATATGGAAAATACCAACAATTAAACTAATCTTAATATTATGAATTACGATATTTCCAGTGATGCCGTTTGAATATTGGTGAAATGAGAATACTAGTATCTTGTTCGTGTCAACCATATAATGCTTAAAATCATAGCCGCGGAGATCTCGTTAATAGCGAGAGAGCTGCGAGACTTGTTTTGTCCTTCACGTCAACTTTTTCTGAATACCATGGTTAAATATTACAGTAACGCGTTCGTCATTATGATTAAATTTTATGAGAACAATATTTTCCGAGATGTTTTAGAACCTCAGTGCAATTTTCACTGCTGAAAATATTACGATTTTCTCCGAATCGCGAATTAACGAAAAATTTTGTTCTCGTAAAATTATAGCGATTTACAGTTATAACTGATGTGTCTATGTCACGTGACTCCTGACTTACGATATCCCTGCATGCAATGTATGACAATAGCTTGTTGTAATGCAGTTATGATTTCTATTGTTCAATAAATTAATGTTTATAGTGAGGGTCGATGTACGTATTCTTTTTGTAAACTACAATAACACATACACTAAAAAATGTTTCAGTACTGTACTGTAGAGAATACTTTTCAGACGCCAACGACCTAACTGCCAATTTGTTACGTCCGAACCGAGGCTCCGATACTAACGGGGAAAACTAAACTACGATAGATTTTAAATTCTGTTGCTACTAACACAGGATGTGAATCAAGGAAATAACACCAAATACATGTACATGGGTGATACAATGCATCTCCTTGGCAACCTATCTAACGATCTATCCTCTAGATGTCTAGTGGCACATAGGGTTTCCACCGAACGTCTCCATTCTGTTCTATCAGCTGCCGCAACTCTGGCCTCCGCCCATAACTTCCATCAAGCCGTGTTTCTTTCCTCGGAGGTGATAGCTGGTACAGGCTACAGGAAATAAAAAAGCATTTTACGTTTTTACAGGAAATGAAATGAAAGTTCCATTTACAGTAAAATATGGACGTTTACACTTACAGATAAAGCAAATTCCTATTTACATTTTATATTTTTATAATATATTTGATAATTTGTGTTTAAGAATCAAAATTGAAAATTGAGTACGAATTACCACATTTAATGTGGTAAATGCTTTATACGCTTACAAAAAATAAGATCTTTGTACAAATTACGGACGAATAAAATAGCTGATTACATTTTGCACCTTGCCCATGTCTACGAATTTACGATTTTTACCCCTTCCCGACCCTCTATACTTTATTATTCCATAGTACCGTACGGCTGGGTCCTTAAGTTGGTACTTTGAAAGCAAACCAGGCAGCCTGAGTACTAGTTGGGTCTTGCATGTTCG